TACAACCGTACAACCTTACACAATATTCTAAACTAACAATAACTTCAGAGAAAAGAATCAAGCGGCGTTAAGTAGGGGCTGTTAAGGGGCCATGAGATAATACCAGAGAATACCAGATCGTCCAATCCAGATTTCCAACTATTTCATTCAAAAAAGCGCTACCGGGCAGACGTTCTGGGGTCATATGAGACTTTTAATTGTCCATATTCATTAACAAATAATGTTCTCTTCTTTCTTCCAATAGTTTGCCATTTGCAATATCGTTTTTCTACATTCGTAATTTTGTTTCGAGATGGAACACGTCACTGCGGATACAGCGCATTATATTCTTTACTTGCGTCTGATGCATATTCTTTGTTTTCACTCGAGTATTTTACATTGACGCTCAGGGAGATGATTTCATCACGACTTTGAATTGTTGCTATTAATAATTTATAAAACGCAATAGTATAAATAAAACTGATTGAACAAATCTAGGCAATATACAGGGTGATTCAAAATTCGCGAGTTCAGCAGAGAACAAGGGTGGCAGGGTACGAGAAAACTAATTAAATAATTTGTTTCCTACATTTTTAGAAGATATTAACAGTTGAAAATCTAATTCCAGGTTTGTTGTTTAGTATTATTTTGAAATGGTCTCACGTTTGATTGGTAGTCTGTTGGAATACTTATTACATTCTTTACTTCATTAAAAAAATTAGTTAAAATGAAATTTAAAAAAATATTTTAGTTAATAATTGATTTCCATGAAAATCTGTTAATCTCCTACTCATATTACTTTAAAAAATTAATTCTGTAAATCACTGCTGCAATGGGTAATTAAGTACGCAACAATCAAGCAACAATCAAAAGCACTCTAAAGATAAAGGCATACCGATGAGATAAACCTGTCTATAAAATATGCAATGCTCTTCTCATTTAATTACTATTGTGCAAGTTGCGGGATAATTGTAGTTAAATGAAATTTCGTGTGGCGGCAGCACTTTGAAGAAGTTAGCACCGATTCCGGTTGCTATAGCTACAGCTTCCTCTTTTGTTCTCTCGATAGGGCTAAATTTACCCAGGGGGTCGGTCGTTCACAATAGAGCAAAAATGGGATATCCGACAGTGGCGTTCGCCCATTTAACTCTTTAATTTCATGCTGAATCTCAGGTTTTCAACACACTCCGTTTGATTTCCGTTTCAAAATCAGGTTTATTTAACATATCTGCAAATCTAATCTAATCTACAATAAAATATTATTATCTATCTTATCTATCTGCGTTCTAAAACGGTACTTTTCGTTTTTTTTTTTCGAAAATTTTTGTCAAATGCAATAAATAAGGGTTTTAAACTTAATTGTCTTTTAAAAAGACCTCGTATTGGTTCCTTGACGTGCAGATCAAGAAGCCAATCTTGCGAAAAGAGATTGTGGTCCAGATTATTAAATTTAGCGCTAAAGTTATATTATTCTGGTAACTCCCAGCATACATTATGTTCCCTAATAATGATAGACATTTAAGAATGTGTTAATCATTCGAAAGAACCGAAAAAGTTAATTCTTGACACTTTTGTAGCTCAAAGCATAACTTCTATGGCAAACACAAATAATCTTTATTTTGAATTTGTAAAACTCGACTTTGAAGTGGTCTAGAAGTCTCTGGTCTCAATATATAAGTATATTCCCAATTTCACAAATAATGGCAAACGCTCAACCCTGATTGATTTGAAAAATTTATAAAATTGAAAATATGTGGATTATTCTGAAAAGTAAATGATAAGTAGGTTTAGCTGGAATTAAATACAAATACCATATATACAGGGGGGTTCAACAAAGAATTGAATTATTCTGAATAGGATGTTGGAATACAGAAAAAATTGTAAAAAAAATATAAAAATAGGAAAGTGACATGTTTGAAAACAGTTATTACGTGCAAGTAGCGCTTTTCTCATTAACATGACGCAAGTACTAGTTGCCTTATCCATAAATCACTAAAGGTAACATGAAATTAGAAAATAAATAAAAAATTGGGTTGAGATCATTTTACTGATGGAACTATAAATTGTCGCAGAATCTCACAAATCATCAGCTATCACAAAACCGCAAAACTCATCACAAACATGCGTACCTTCACTACCAAACCTCATTTAACAACATCAGTTTTGATTATGTTTTATTTAATTATTATTATTATTATGGAGATTATAAAACTATTGAGAAAAAGCACTTCTTCAAACTTTACTTGATAGGGACTTTCCTTTAAAAGTTCGAGATCAAGGAAATCTGCAAGATACTTTTTAATGGTTATTAATGTCTGGTTCTGGTGCTTGTTTTCATCAAACTCAACATCAATCTTATCGTTGCTCATATAACTTCTGTCTTCAGAAACCATCTACTTAGTTGCAACTTTCACGTTTTAGGCAAAGTTCATTTTCACTTTTTTGGTCACTTTACATTCAGTTTCCCAGCCTAATCAGTTTAAGTGTAGTAAACGCAACGTTCACAAAGGGTAATCTTAGCGAAAACACAAAAACTCTTATAAAACAGAGAAGGAAACCAAATTTCAAGCATACCACAAATGCAGACCAACTACGAATCCTAAATAGATACACCTCAAAGAGCGTCAGAAGAGATATAAGAAAGTTTAAATCTGAAAAAATAAAAAAAGTAATCGAAAACAACAAAAGTTCTTCGAAGAAAGTTCTGTTCCGGTACCAAGAACATCTGTAAACTGCAGAAGGGGCAAGCCGTACTACCTCAAATATGAATGAAATTCTAAAGTTAGTTAAGGATTTTTATACAGAGCTATACAAAGAAAAGAGACAAAATCCTCGTGAGAAATTGCCTCATGTACAAATGTACAAAACCATGGTTCAGATGATATTCCTGGTATTACCCTGGAGGAGATAAGAGCGTCGATGAACGAAATGAGGGACAACAAAGCTCCAGGCGAAGATGAAATTGTTATTGAGTCTTTTAAGGCAGGAAGAAACATATTGCTCAGGAAAAAGTGCATGTCTTCTGATGAGACTAACACCTTTCCAGTGGGATAATGCTACAATAATCATAATGCACAGACCGGGAGATATCGCGAAACTGTACAACTATAGACCGATAAACTTATTGTCACATGTCTACAAACTTTTTATATAGCTAAGCACCTGATACCTAAACTAAATTTATACCAGCCTCGTAAACAGGCGGGATTTAGAGCAGGCTATGGATCACACCTTCAACTTAGTAAGACTCTTCTATGCTGATAGAAAAATGCATTGAGTATAACAAGCGAGTTGTCTTGGTATTCACAGATTTCAAAAAGGCTTTCGACCTTGTAACTCAGCACAAAATGTTGCTGAAATACCTCCCTATTGAAAAACGTATACAAACTGATGTGAAAGATTACATGCAGACACAAATAAATTTCAAATCGAAAGAGGAGTTTGTCAGGGCGACCAATATATCCGAAACTGTTTACCACCGTATTGGAATATGCCTTTAAACGAGTAAACTGGGAAGACATCGGCATAAATATCGACGGAGAGCTGTTGAGGCACATGAGGTTCGCTGATGACATTTTCATAACTTCCGACTGAGTATTGACCAGACTCAGACTATGTTGGAGAGCCTTCATGAAGCGATCACAGAAATCGGTTTTAAGATCAATTTTAAAGACGGGTGCTACTGATGTCATAGAGAGAGTTGCAATCTTGAAGTGGAACTGGGCTGGCCATTTGGCACAAACAGCGGATGGAAGATGGTCAAAGCGGATCCTGGAGAGTGGAGACTACGGCACGAAGCCTATAGAAGCAAAGGCAGAGCACCAACTTGATGGACGGATGATATAAAAATAATCCGGGGAAACTGGATACAGCACGCACAAGACCGAAAGCATTGGCAGATACTAAGGGAGGCCTATGTCCAGTAGTGGACGCAACAGCTGTTTGATAATGATCAAACACAACGTGAATATTCTGTTTCGTATGTAGAATATTGGATCTATTTAGAGCCTCCAGGATGAAAGTAAATATTATGCATGTTTGATATTGTTATAAATTTCATGTTTTGAAAATCCTAACAAGGAATCTAAATTCCAATACACCGAAACGTGGAGATGTTTCTCAAAAAATTCTGTCTGGATACGTGGATGCCCTTGCGATTTTTCATTTAAAAAACCACAGAGTCCTTATTTCTTCAAACACAAACTTTGCCTAAGTTGATGTGTGACTACCTATTGGATGTATTTTTGAAATGTTGTAAGCGCTTAATTAAAAATTGATGCCAATTTTCAATCACCTTCCATATCCGTTAAAGTAATTTGGAGACTCAAACATGGACTTATGTGAATCTAATACTCAACTAATTTTTTCATCTCCTTAGCATGTAAGAAAGTTTGGAAAGTTGATTTGTTTAATGTAGAATTTACTTGCACTCTTTAATGAATAAATAACTACTTGCATCAGCCGTTAGAATTTTCATTGTCTGGCTACCAGTTGAAGAAAAATATCTAGAAATCCCCAAACGCGGATCAAATGCAAACAAAACTACCCTTTAATCTACGCCCTTGGTAAACGAACCCCTAATATTGTCGTCTCTGCGGACCACATCTGTCAATTTTTCGACTCTAGTTTGGTTTGGTGTTGTGCTGTAGTTTCTAGTAAATACTTAAAAGGTGCAATGATGTAAATGGTCCTGTTCAGCAGGAGGATTCTTACATGTTGTGAACTACGAAAAATTGTAATAATTGCAGTTGATCAATGAGTACTTACGTAAAGCAACCAGTGAGCTAAATTGCGGTAGTGAGTGGAAGGGGTGAATATATCTAGTCGTGATTAGTGAGTGACAAACTGGATTAAAGTTAAAATTTATGTGATAAAATTATATTTTATTAAAATTTTAATTTCTTTAAAAAAAGATTTGCGTGATGCTGACGAGTTGTTTGGATCGAGTTATCTAGTTGTGTTCATTGATAAATCAGGTTGCTGTTCGCCAGCTGGCTGCCATCCAAAGTGAGTGTGAAATTGCAAAATTTATTATAAATAAACAATGAAGTCATATGATTGTGATTCCTCCTCGGAAAGTGAAGATGCGTCACACGCCATCTCACGCGGTATGATTCAACCCCCACAGTGGCTTAGGGGAAACTCGATCGGGGCAAACTGGGGTTGGCAAGGGGTTGCTGTAAGTAGATATAAAATCTATAAGTCTCAGCCTTATTGATTTTTTGTAATTTTTGAAACCACCCCAAATGTTCTAGACACACGTGAATCAATTAATGGCGATATTTTTGTACTACTTAGATGCAACGGCTATAAATTAAGTTGTAGATATGTTCTATATTGTTGAGGCGGATTCATTTTTTTACAAACGTCTTCTTGGGTATTTCGCCTCAAATCCTCAAAACATTACCATATTGAGGCGAAATACCCAACAAGAAGTTTGTAAAAAAAATATAAATATCATGTTGGTGCTTAACTCATTTATTTAAAATTTTAAGAAAATAATGGAACACATGTTGACATCTTTAGTAAAGTAATTGGTTCCGTACATTGTGGTTATATTATATTATATGCACATCAGTTGACTTAATTTTTTTTAAGTAATTAACAGAGCTCGGGCGCTTGTCATCAAATAATACCATTTGAGTGTAATTTAATTTATACCAATCGCAATTTACAGTTTTCAGACGTTTGTTTATTTTTCTCAATATCTTGATGTAATTTCTTATGCTTTCGACATTAGATTTTGTAATTTTATGTTTGCAATATTCTTTTAATGCGACTTTTGCAATTTGCTAAATATGCACAGCACTCTACAGTTCGCAACTTCGAAAGAAAATTATTTGAAACCTGTTAAATTTCGTTTTCAATAATTCTTCGCAAGTGTCTATTTTAATTCCATTGAATAAAATAAAGATAATTACTTTCTATTGTAATTTAATGTGTCTTATAAAAAGAAAATAGTTATTTTTTCTGATAATAAACTTTCAAATCGCTAGAAAGTCAATATAAAATAAAGAACAGAAACATAAATGTATCCAAAAACCTGGAGATAGACATTAAAGAAATATTGATAAATTATCTTTAACAGAAAATTTTGATCGAAAAAAAAACAAGAATAGTTTAATACTACCTTAAAGCATTTTTATAGTATTAGATTTACTGTATTTTTTAATCGAAAAAGTTTGTTGACAAATTGAGATTTTAGAACTTGACCGGTTTCTCAATCAATTTTCTGCATGTAAAGGCAAAGCAACCCTGATAATAATTAAAAAATCGTTAATAATAAAGTATTCGAAAACAATTACTGAATATTAAGATGGTTATGGAATACACGAAAATATTCACAAAACCAGCAGTGATAACGTATTAGTTCAACTTTGTAAGTAATAAAATACGTTTAATAATATATCGAAGTAAGGAAACCTGGAATGCACAGTATTTTTCTAAAACATCACATTTTAACTAATAAAAACTCATATACCACAAAGTTTTGAATCATTTGCACTATTGATTCAATTGTAAAAAAAAATACTTTTCGAAAAAACTGTAATCTATATAAGGAGTAAATAAAATAAATATAATTTACATAAAATAATCTACTAATAAAATTAAGTACTAAAGGCACTTCTACAATAAAATTCGTTTTGGAATCGAAAACAACATAACAGTCATATGTTAAACGTGTCTCAAATTCTGTTTTAAACTATTATTAACTTAAAATAATAAATGCGTTTTTTTTTTACTTTAAATCGACACGAACCTGCGTTTATTTGTTTTGTTTCTATCTACATTAACTGTTTTATGTTCTAATTTTTGCTGTTGCTTCCGGTTTTGTGCAGAGTAGATACATGATTTTTGATCAACTTTTCTTTTTTAGGGCAGTTCTACCGGACCAAGTTCTTCGGCAGCAGCAATGGACCATCCACAAAGTTATTCTTCGTTTCCAGCTGCAAATTCTCAGGACGAATCTCAAGTTCCAGGTCGACGGACACCGTTAGGGACGGTGAGTTTAGGAGGATTTTACTTTCAAGGATGTCAACAGAACGTGACCACGCCTCACGGTCCACCTTCGGACGAAAATAATCCCGATCCTGGTTGTTCAATTCAACATAGCAGCAGGTATGAATCATTTTTATGTATATCTTAATTTGAGTCATAAATAAATTTGAAAAATATTTTAACAGAGCTTTTCAAATTTATTTAAAATGTATAAAAGGACAAGATAAAATAAAATTAGAAAGAACGAACATTTTTAATAAAGAATTGTATCTTAGGAATCATTTCATAGTTTCAACTTTTCGACTGCAGTTTTTAAATAAAAAAGAAAGTATTGTATATGCTAAAGTGAGCCCCACGATCCATTTTGTTACTTTGAATGCTGAAGGCTGAAAATTTATGAAAGAAAATTATGATTTCCTATTGATTAATGAGATTAATAGTAGCGATTTAAGAGTAAAAAATCAGTGTTTTTAAAACTTAATTCAGACTGAAAGAACCCTATGTATTTGATTATTAAGCGATTTGTTTGTATTTAGATGGATTTAGAAAATTTTATTTAAAAAAGAACTAAATGTTTTTTGAAAACCAAGAATTATGCTTAAAAGACCCAAATAACAGCATTGAATTTTCTATTATCTTATGTCATCAAGCTCAATGCTGAATACATGTTTTTAGTTAAGACTAAATTGCATACAATAACATTTTCCTTAACATAAACATTTCAAATAGAATCCCGAAAATCCGAGTGAACGAGCTTGGAATCAATAAAATGTTCTTTATTCTTCAATTTTAATTTAATAAATGATTTTTCTAAGAAGCTGATTATAATAACTTGCCATACTGTATTCAAATACGGCTAATATTTATTATTCGATACCTTTACCTGCAATATAAGTTGTAATATTACAGGTTTCTATCCACTTTTTTGCGTCTTTGAACTTTTGAGTCATTTCCGACCCGACATTTGCAACAGGATATAAAGTAAAGGAAAAATATTTTGTTATTTCATACAAATTTGTAGGCGTAATTTATAGGTTTTAATTGTTTTAGTTAAAGAAAAATTGGTGGTTCTGAAATATACCGACATAACTGAATATATGCTAATTATTATAAACGCGATTTATTTTAGAATACAGTAAAAATTTATAATTTTTGAGTAGATATAAAGAAATCTACTTTTGATAAACAATGGATCAGAAAGAAACTAGTCCACTTAAAATAATTGTTTAATAATCATCATCAATAATCAGTTTTTGCTGGTAAAATTATAGCTTTGTACGTTTATTCCTTTTTGTAGTCGCAATAATTCAAAAACCACCTAAGATTTTGATATAGTTCTACAATTCTGAGCAGTTGTTCATTTAGAAAAAATATCTGTTTGATAACCCTAAAGTAGAATAGATTGTTCGAATTTGGACCACGCTGTATATTTGTACCAAATAAAAATTATGCTGGTCGTTTTTTGCAGTAGCGAACCTATGCGGAATAATTGTAAAAACGTCTTGTACTTCAAAAACTAGTATACAATAAAATATATAAATAAATTATGTAAAAATTGTTAAAAATTTACATTAAACTCATTAATTAAGAATTTAATAATTACCAGAAAAAAAATATAACGAATCTGTGATTTTCGAAAACAAAAAAAAATTATGTGGTTGCAAAAGTAATTTCTTCCCTATGATTGACGAGCGCTTTAAAAAAACTGTAGCAACCTCAGCATCTGCAATAAAAAAATTATTAGATCTAAACAATTATGGATAAAACAATATTCTACAGAATATCATATACGTTTTTTCTATTTTTGCCTGTTTAGTTTCGAAGTTGTAGAGAAATTAAACTTAAAATTWAACTTAAAACTTAAAAAATAATTAAAAAGAAAAATGTTGAAAAATGTCGCAATAGTCTCATAAACGCGAGCATTTGAAACTGACCTTAACACTATTCGAAAATCKATRAAGAAAAATAAGGTTTACATTAATTAGCACTAATGARGGCAAAACAAAAAAGCTTTTTACTTGYATCCTACTGTGCCTGACTTGCAAATTTAAGCCTAAATTGGTTGAAATACAGTAAGTTTTCACATGCGAGGAAACGCAAAAAAGTGTTAAAGAAATGAGGATGGTAACAGTATATTAATGGAATATGCTGTTGTAGTTTATGCAGATGATATTGATGAGAGAAAGTCCATAAATGGATATTTTTTTTCAATCCGGGTAATTTCAATTGTAATTTTCGCTCCTCGAGCCATAAACAGTACTAAATAATCAACTGAAGCAGAATATATTAATTCCACGGTACTTAAAAAGCTATTTTCAAAACAATGTACAAGGAAAACTAATGTATCTTTTCTTTTCTCTGTACAATCATTGGTGACGTGCTATTGACCTCATTGAAAGTACAGGTCATAATTTTCATTAAATTGATAAATTTTTTTCAATATTATCAATCATTGTTATTATTATTTTCAAGAAAAGCATTCAACACAGTAAACAAACGTCTAGAAAAACTTAAGGAATAAATGGTTGGTCTTCCATATGATAAGCATGCGATTTCTCTTATTTACTATGTTTTCCGCCCTCAAAGATCGTCCTCAAATTATATTTATTACGTTGTAATTGCACTTTGCTATCAACAAAAAGCCTCATATAAGGTGGTCTATTTCCAGATCTTTAGAATCCAGATCCGGAAGCACGAATCCGAATGTCAAAGGAAAGAATCGTCAAGGCAAAACCGTTCGACTAAACATAAATGCCCGCGAGCGTCGAAGAATGCACGATCTGAATGACGCTCTGGATGAACTCAGAGCAGTCATTCCTTATGCCCACTCACCATCTGTGCGGAAGCTGTCGAAAATAGCTACTCTATTATTGGCTAAAAATTATATTCTTATGCAAGCTAATGCTTTGGAGGAGATGAAGAGACTTATTGCCTATTTACAAGGTTAGTTACCATAGATTGTAGTATATTGAACAGTTCGTTTTTTGAAGATACATATTAAGTCATTTAAAAGATTCTTTAAATTTTATTATTTAAGAGCACCGAAAGCAGCATTTAGTTTACTGATTATGATGTTATGATAAGTAATTAATTTTAATTAATTATGATAATGAATGATTAAGATGTTAACAGTTTTCTTTATTCACTAGATATTTTTGCAAATTATTATTACATATGGAACATTTTCGAAAATTGTATCCACCCAAGTTTTCTATTTGCAATATTTACTGTGCCTTTATGATATTACTATTGTTGTTTTCGTTGGTTAGTTTGATTGCTTTTGAGTCGCGTAGTTGTTTGTTGGAGAAATGAACTTAAATTGTCTGGTTCGTCTTCTCTTGTCTTATTGATCTCCATGCAACTTGTGGTGCTGTTTGTATGTGATGTTCAGTTTTATTGGAAGCATTTGCTCTTATTCTGTGTTAGTAGTCCATCATAATCATCATCATGCAACAGCTATTCGATATATTGTTGGATATAAGCTTCCTCAAGTTGCCAAGTTGCTTGCACATTCTGCGGTCCTCAGCTTGCTGTGACCATAGTTTTCCTCTGGTTTTTTCTATGGCGTCTTTCCATCTGGCTCTCGGTCTGCCTTTATTCCTTTTACCGTGTCGTGGCCTGATACAATCTTACATAAAAAACTTACCTCATAATTGGTAAACATTACGTTCGTTTACGTAAAAAAATAAACGTAGAAAATAATTCAGACAAATTTAAGGTTTCAAGAAGGCAAAGACCCAAAAGAACGTAATGTTTAACAATTATGAGGTAAGTTTTTCAAATGTTTTGCTCTCCCAAAAGGAAGGATTTTTTCCTTCAAGAACTGATGAGTGTTTTAACGCTTTATAAATTATAGTTTGTATACAACATGTTTTAATTGTGAATTGGTGTTTGTAGTTTGTGTAAATTTAAAATCTGACGATGGCGCTGTTGTCTCGCCGAAACGCAATAAAATAAACAATATTCAAAATTTTTACTTCACACTTTGACTGAGACCCAGGAAAAATAAGAATATATTAGTATTTGTATCAACCAGTGGAGGTTAAACAAAATCCGAGTTGACTCAATAACTTGCTATTCTCTTTGAATTTAGCAAATTTAAAATTGGAACAATTTCCAAAAAAACTTCAACATTTTCCTATAGAATACATGAACGTCCGGTTCCTATATTCAATTTTAATCTTTCTTCGCAGTATTTGCAAAATAATATTTTTTTCAAGGCACTGCCGGGGCTGGAGCTGGAGCTACAATAGTCGCACCTCCAGGATTCGATCTCCAAGGGTTTCCAGCAGCAGCCAAGTTCCTACAACAACAACAAGCTCTCCAAGCGGAAAATGCTCGACACAACGAAGGAAATAATGGAGGTTCCGGATCTGCAATGTGAATCGCTTGCGATAATAAGATATAGATTCATAACATGGTGCCGAAAATTTAATGCCCTGAGCTGATAGAAAACTTTTTAAATTGATGTGCCAATAGAAAACTGACTAGTTCAAATCTAATGCAAACAGTAAGTAGTGCAACTGAATTGATTTTGTAGACTTTGGGGAGATTTTTATGTGTGTTCAAGCTCTATATCGTAAGTCAGATGCATTTAATAGAAATACATTAATTCGATTTAAAAAAAAATTGAGGGAAACAATGGAGTGGAATATGCTGCCTTTTCTGTGGTTATTGCCAGTTTATTACTTAAACAAGCAAAGACATGATTATTCGTCCAAAACTTCTAATAAAGTTAGTTCTTCATCTATCTGTTATTTCCTTAAGGTTTCATATTTGGGGCTTTATGTGTTTTACAACATGTTACGTTCTAAATGAGTATCACTTCGATYTTAAGTAGATATTGATYAATCTAYAAAAATGCCATTTTTGCAAACCGACCATTAATTTAGATTATATTTAAAAATTCCTAACTAAATCTCGAACTGCTTCATATGCAACTTCTSTGAATGCCAATCAAATTTATTAATCAAAAATGAGCTTAAACTTGTAGGTTCAATAAATTATAAATTTCAAATCATGTGACTAAGAAACTGCAACTYTTGAGAAAATATGAATGTCGCATTCGAATACAACTTAAATTTGAAGAAACTGAGATTGTTCTTACTTAGGAGGAAACGCYCGAATTTGGATGGTTTAAGTTCAATTGAATGAAGRATAAACCCGGTARTTTTTTTTTAAGGCCAAATAATAGTTTTCCAATAGTGGGCGCCAGCAAATCTAAGTGCAAGATGAAGAGATTCAATATCGGCAGAAAGTTGARTAATTATACTTTGATTTTGGTCAAGGATTTTAATAATTTAAAATATTTGGAGTTTTTTGGGAACACWTAATTTTCRATGTAACTGAAAAAGACGTTTTTGGTACAATATACATGATGGTATTTCTCCTATTTGATGAGATTGAAGMTTTTCAAAAGATTTTCAAATTATTAGATGAAAAGAAGCGATTTTATTGAATGATTAGATCACATTCCAACTCCATAACACACTTTGAAATGGGTTATGTAAAGTCCAAATCTTATTTATGAAGTACCAAAGTAATTTCGAAATGAAAAATTAATAAATGCCCCTCACAGGTGTTAATTAAGCAAGAGAAAACTTTTAAATTTGACTGATCACAAGTTCAACACTCTGTTTGCTTTGAGGTAAGTTTAATACTTTGAAATTGTGTCTTTGATTCTGTTTAGTTCGTCTGTAAATTCAATGCATAAACTACAAAGAAACCATTAAATAACATTGAATTGAAAAATGACTGAATAAATAACGATCTGTAGCAGAAACAACGGTTAAATTTAAAATTAGAGATTTTGCAAAAAAAAATAGAATTAAGTTTTTATCTTCTTTGTTCGCGCTATTTCAGTTATATACAGTATCTATCTGAAATCACAACTGTATTGATGACTAACTCGATCGAGTATTTTTCAAAGCATATGAAAAAACACGTTATTTGATTTACGTAGTTCTTTGTACGTTTTCTTCAAAACTTTCTTATTAGTGATTATGGTTGACGAGGTAAAAAAATCACTAAAGCTTTGCTTTGACGGGTTTTTTTATAAAAATTTAAATCGGGATTATCATTATAATATCTGAAAACTGAGAAAAAAGTTACGTTCTACTATATTTCATGAAACTGAAAAATTATTTGGATCAACATATGTTTGGGTGATCATAATCAGTGCAAAAATATAAACGAAAACATACAAAATAAAACCAACTGTTTAAATATTTGCCGCGAAAACTTAAGCCATTTCATACAGTAAAACAAAATGCATTGCTTCCAAGTTTAACTGATCTAATTCCTATCTTCACTAATATTAAAGCTGCCAATAGTGCCGGCCTAATTTAAAATAGCCTGTATATAAGAAAACTTATATTTTAAGTTATATAGTGGGGTTTAATAAATATAATAACAGATTTGTAACTTCAATTCGTTGCAACGTTATGAACCATTTCAAAAAGCTAGTCGGTCAAAAAGCAATATTTGCTTCTTAAGATTTTAACTCCGTTTACGTATAACTTCCATTTGGCAAATGTAATAATTTGTACGCAGATGAGAGAGAAAGATGAGTACAGAAAGTGGGTAATAAAAGAGTCGAGAAATTGGAGAGTATGATGGTCGATAAATTACCAGAGAATAAAAGCAAATTATCAAAAGAATTCAAAAGCAACCACTTATGTAGGTACTAAATAATCACCATGCAGGTGAATAATTTTAATACATAAATGACTTGCTACGATTTACGTTACGAGACTAGTTTTTACTGTATTTTTCCTTCACATTTGATAGTTTGAACAAATACACATAGAAGAGTAATAACAATACCAGCTAACTACTTTTCTCCTAATTTTCTAATAAATTATTTTTTATATAATTTGTATAATCCTGTAATTTAACACTGCTGAATCTACATATTAGCAATGTTTCAACGCTCAATTATACATTACAATTCAAATCTGGGCATACCAGTTGAAATGTGTTTTGAAATGGTGTATCGTTTAATCTCTTAATTTTCTTGTATTATTCGCTGCTGATTCTCCTCTAAACCATGTGGATTTGATGGCTTTAACGATATGTGACAAAATATGGTTGTATTGTTCGTATGCTAGTCGTCCTATAGACTACTTAAATAATATAAAATGAGGACATTCATCGGATGAACAAATATATTAAACATAAGCAATACTTGGTGTGATCTTACCGTAACAGACTAGTCAATTAGGATAATTTTTATATAAATATAAGATGTATTTTAACTTAGAGAACGTGTAACATAACTTGGAGATAAGTATGCAATTTGTGTAGTTTTTAGACTGCTACTATATCGATGAAAAACATAAAGTACATGGGTGTAGTTGACTAACAAGAAGCAGCTGTGTTTGTAACAATGACTATTTGGGATTGAGCAAATAACGGATACTCGGAGGACGTTGTGAAGAAGGATCGGAATTAAATGAAGATATAAGAAAGTCTATTAATATAATATCGTCACTTTTTATTTATTTAATTATCAGACATGTTGATAAAGGCCATGTCCTGATTAGTATTTACGTTTGATGTAGACCTTCAATGTAACAATTAAGCATTAAGGGCGTTGGTCAGATGAACCTTTTCCGTTTTTCTGCTCAAGACATCTGCACTGTGTTGCTCTCTTTTGCATTGCAATGTAAAATATACACCCATGTACAAAATGTTTGTAGGTTCAAGTAAGGGATCTAAATCATTTCAACATTTACAGCAAATTCGTTCCTGCATGATAAGTATTTGGATATGCGAATCAGATAGAAGCATATAGCATAATTGTATGGATACAACTTGATAAAGTATGTGTGATATTAATTTTTGAATTGCTTTATTTCAAAGTCCAACAATAGTCATCAAGTCAAATCCTTGAAAGGAACATTTTCAGAGGTGGAGCTTGTGCAAATCATACAGGGTGTCGTACTATGAACGTCGTCAAACGTTGGCAGAGAACAGTGGTGAAAAGAATAGTGCTTAAAGTTGGTAAGTTACAAGTAAGTAGACATTCAAGGTGCTGGTTGTTACGGATTTATCGGAAGTTGACTATAACTTTCTGCATTTAAATTGAACATCTGCTGTAAGTTTATACATTTAAAGAGTTTTAATTTCTCCTGCCTGTGGTTTTGGAGAAAATAATATTTCTGTTAATAACGATTAAGATTGTGGTCAGTTTAATATAAACAAGCAGGGGCACAATTAAGAGGGTTTGATTAAATTTTCCTTAATATTGAAACTTTTAAGAAACTTTGCATCAAGTAATAGATAATGGAGTATACATTAATATCAGGTATTTATATCATTGGTTTCCGGCCAATTAAAAACCTGAATTTCGCACAATTTAATTTAGGGTGACAAATATAGTTCCATCAATAAAAAGATTTTTTAAATATTTGGTTTAGTTGCTTTCGTTGATTTGCTTAGAAAGCAACAGGTATGTACGTTTTGTTAATGAAAAAGTCGTCATGTGCTGGTGTATTTAAATATATTGTTACTCCTAATTTATAATTACCTTCAAGATTTTTAACAAATGTTTTTTCAAGGGTTGTTTTATGAGAATCGTTCACTATGTTTTCGGAACTTAGTTAATTTCCCACGTCAAAACCTCCAGAGGAATAACGCCAAATTAAATCATCGTGTATATATTTTTTTGTGCACAAAGCAATTAATCCTGTAAATCTGCTGGTGTTATTGTTTTGTGCATTACAAAATGCCGTCATTTTTGCGGTCTTATGTTTTGGAGATCAGCAGTAGGCGCATTAACTGTAAATCACTATGTTGGTCAAGGCTACAAGGCAGACTTTGAATTTCAATGGAGCTTTATTACTTTCTTCGACTTTTATAATATCTGATTTAGTTCTGTCCAAACACTGGTTTCCTTTTACCGTCGGCATTGTAGTCTAAAACATTTTCTAAACCAACTGGAAGCTAGACTCTTTTGACAATCACGAAGTTACCCTCAAGGTAATCTTTAATACTTAACTGAAAAATGGATAAAATTCGTCGTGGCAAAAATGAATAAAATAAATAAAAAAGTCGTAGTACTTTAAGCACCTCTGGAGAGTTTGAGATATGGACTAATTTACATCCCTCATCATTCTATGGGGCTTTGTCCCCACCCCCCCAGGCACAGTACAATACTTTCTATTTCATAGTAGCGACTCAAAAGTCTGAATTTACTTTTATAACAACGAAATAACATTTTATAATAGCCATAAATGAAGAAGCTCGTGTTCACTCAGTCGGATATTCCATGAAATGATTGAAAAACAATCAATTGGACGAGAAGGAACTGTAGCTGGGCACCTCGATCATCTGATCCAAACAATCGGGACTTTTAACTTAAAACAATCGGGGGTTTTCAAAAACAGACCCCAGGAGGGCTTAAACATCCACTTTGACTCAAAACCCAGGAAAACTTTTAACATTTTTACCCTCAAATGTCTCGATAAATCAAATGAAATCACTACGCGAATTTTTGCTAGTTCCTATTTGTGCTGCCGCGCCGGTTAAAAGCCGAAGTTTCTTTAGAATTTGTCCCATACAGATGATCCATGACGTACTTACACAGTACAATAATTTATGTTTCATCGTAACGACTCAAAAATCTTAATTTTCTTTAATAATAACTTAATAGCATTTTATGATTCTGTAAATTAATAAACTAAATATTTCAAAAACACGTTCTTCCATCCAGAGGAACTTGGAGGTTACAATACGTCGGTATAATGATGTACCTTTTTTATGACCTCAGTCATAAAAAAACCTTTAATCGTTCCTCAATCACGTATTTGCCCATCTACTGACTGAAAAATTAGCACTGTAAAGAAATAATACATATCATAACAGACGTAGATACTATTAACAAATTACAACCATTTCGAATCGAAACAAAATATACATTTACTTATACTTTTGACGGCTTAGAACGTTAGCGTCGCTTCTGTACGATAAATCATGTGAATTAGAATCAATAATTGTCAATTAATTGTAGTTCTCATCAATTTTAATTGCCTTTTATAAATGAAATGTCAAAAAAGTAAATGTTTCAATTTGTTAATGTAGATAAACTTAACATTCTTAACAAGTCGCACATTCGATTTACTTTTCACATTATTTTTTTAAATCTACTGTGAACTAATAAGCTCTAGAGTCGCTGTGCCTTTTTCAATAAGGAATTCTGAACTAATTCATAAATATAAATCCAGTACGTATAAGTAAAGTTGGTGTAGATTTTCAGCAGAATCAGCCACTTGCGTAAAATACAAGCCTCAACTGTTCAAAATTATCCTGAAGAAAAAGAAGGAAATATAAATATAAGTTTGTGAAACAATTCTGAGAGCAATTTGGGAAGTTTTACTTGTTGGAGGTTATTCTATATGAGCCTATGAAGAAGATATTTGCCATGCTTTTATCTGAGTCGAGATTACGTTTTAAATTTAGGTCATTTATGTTTTTGTTCTTCATAATGGTTCGAATTATAACCCTACAGAGAAGTTTCTTTGCAAATCTGAACCAAAACGAAATGGAAAACACATTCCTTAAGAATATTTGTTGTGTAATATAAAATATATTCAATAATAAATTGCTTGAATTTTTTTTATCTAATATATCTGGAAAGGTGATTTTAACTATGTTTCATTTTTTTTAAATACATATTTTAATTATCCGTGTATTGATTTAGAGATTATCTACCGAAAAATAAGTTGTCAATTGAACCACTGGGCTTAACTCAACTTATGTGAGCTGTAAAAGCAAAGGCGATTTTGAGAGCCATTTATATTTTCCTTTGCAACCTTCTAAAGTCTATTTCTAGTTAATATTAACCACCCTGCAAATTTTTAATCGCAAAAAACTCTTGTCTTTTATTAGAAGAACAAATATCAGATTTTATCAGTTTCCACTAAAGCAAATCTTTCGGAAGTTGATCAATACTTATGTAATGGCGTTGAGCAAGCAGTTTTTCAGGTGTTTGATATCAACAGCTTTACCTTCTTACTAAATTTGATTGTTATGAGAAAGGCTACGCTTTCCTAATAATGTTTCGGCTATTCAAATAAAAAAGTTTTCCTTACTAATTTGTTTGGCTGTTAGTTGAAGTACATCTGAAGTTAATCTTTGTATCCAACACTTTCTAGGCAGTAATTACTATTTTCTCCAATGATTCCATATCGGTTAAATAGTCCCTAGTTTTCCTTAGATTTAAAAAAAAATTATAAGTGAAACAAAAAAGGTTATTGCAAACGGTGTATTACGAAATTTAAAAAATGTAAAGAAATTGAACTCATAATTTTCCTTCAATTTGTATTCTTAGCTGTAGCTTTAATTTAATTTTATGTATATATTTAACAAAGTTTATATGTAGATTGTGCAGTTGCAAATCACATTCACTGCAAGTGTATTGATTTTTGCATCCCAGCAAATGAAAAATATCTTAAAGGAGATTATTTGATAGAGTTCGTATGTATATTTGGCAGTAGCAAATCACCTTCACTGCAGGTATATTGATTTTTTCCATCTTCAGCTGCTTCTCCAATAATCTATTTCTATTCTATTCTTTTGCCTCTATATATTTTATCCAGATGTTGAAAGTGGAATCACCATAGAGTGTGGGCACCTTTTTTTGCAAAAGTGGTAACGAGGTAAAAATTGATTTGGCAAAAGAAAACTGCGAACCCAACTCACCCTATTCAACAGTTCTCAGGTCAATTTAACACCTTTTAACAATCGAAACCCAGTCTATTTAGTCGTCGGTTCCTTTCGAGGCTTTCTCCTGACCATTTATGCGTTCCTGATCGAAATTATCCAAAAACACGTGCTTTCCGACCCAAACTTTACGAAATACGTGTTTCTTCTTGCCGAAAAATATCATTCACTGAACCCATAGATAATCAACATCATACATAATCAACAGAGATAAAGACTGATCTGATGACTCACTGAACTGTTCTGATGTTCGTTCTACGCGCAGTAATGCCAGATCGGTGAAATTAAAATCGCCAAAATGTCACTTCAAAAATCTCTAGTTTTCCCTAGATTTTCCAAAAAAGTTATAAGTAAAAATGTTAGGTGAAACAAAAAAAGGTTATTGAAAACGGTGTATTACGAAATTTAAAAAATGTAAAGAAATGGAACTCATAATTTTGCTTCAATTTGTATTCTTCTTATTAATTATTTTAAGTTTCAGCTTTAATTTAATTTTTTTATTTTAATAGTTCATATGTAGATGGTGCAGTTGCAAATCACATTCACTGCAACTCACTCTGCTCTCACAGAGAAACAAAAATTTGAGAAATCCCTAGGTATTTATAAAAAATCTAGTTTCAATTTTGCCTGAGAAAAGTTCCTAGAACTAGGGAAAAATTCCCTAGTATGGCATGACTGTTCTATAATTTTCTTCCATTTTGCTTCGGTTAAAGGCGCTTGAAAAAGTTTTTACTGTCAATTCCTTCCTATAAAATTATTGAAAAATTAAATTGGAATTATTGATTTACTGAAACTCGTTAATTTGCACGGATAGTTCAGATGCATTCACTTTGGGACACCGTCCATTTGAAACCAGTTGTTTTAATATAAATGAAGATGTTGCACAGAAAGTTGAAAAACCCTTCACAGTTCAAACGAAAACCGGTAGAAAAATGGATCAATCCCAAATTCATTTATTATCCCCAACCATGCATTCAGGCTTAACCAGTTCTGGAATGAGCAAACACGGAAATTTTATGTTTTTTCATGACCCTAAACGTATTTAAAATTTCAGAAATGAAAGACGAAATCAAGCAAAAGTCAACATAAACAGTTTTTTTTTATTACTTGAAAAA